CTATTACAGAACACGTATTTTTCTTGATATTGTTTGATTAAGTTGTAAGGTATGTGTTCTCCTATATTTTCAATATTAGCCTTTGTCAGTAGAGGTTTTACTTTGTCATGGTAACATGAACGAAAATGTTTCTGTAATAGATTAACCTTGTGACTGCTAGCTTGTATTTAAATTTAAAATAATTTATGACTTTGATGAGTGTATCTTCAAACACCGTTTTAACTTCTTGTCTTGTTATGCCAGTGTCTGATCTATATTTGGTCCCTTTATTCAGCAATCTTCTGAAACTATCTTCTTTTATAAGATTTACATTTCCTGTGATAACGTGTTCATAATTTTTATCCACATATTCTTGTACTGTATTTGTAGTACATATACAATCGTTGTTGAGTATTTGCTTCAATTTTTCGTTGTCGAGATCTTTCAACACTTTGTTGTAATTGCAAATTTTGCTAGCCATTGTGTTGTTGTACTTATAAATAATTCTAATTGGGGTGAATCACTAATCCTTCCATTATCGCTGAGTAGTATATCTCTAACAGTACGTGAATTGAAGATTCTGTTGAAGGGTATTTCATTAAACACCCTGCTTTTGAAACTGACCTCTACATTATGATAGTTCTTTTTGGTGATTTCTTTTGTGGTAGTGTCAAAATGAAAGTGAGCTAGGTACCAAAAACCTAGTCTTATTATTGACTCTCTGTAAGAAGTCTGCAGACATGGAGAGTTCAATTAGTTTCTTAATTTCTTCTTTACGCAGACTTTTGAGCATTCTGTAGTACTGAATAGGTTTGAGTGTTTCACTATTACTTGTTATCTCTGCTATAATATTATCGTATGTGTTTACTTTATTCTTTTTACTGTTTCTTTTTCCTCTATTTATCCTTTGTTTTGTAATTTTAAGAGAGAAGAAGGGATGATTGCCCTTGTACATAAGAGGATTATCTATATTTGTAATGTTTCCATATCCCTTTATGTTATCATTCAACCATCATTCATTCAAAGGGGTGATGTTATCATTCAACCATCATTCATTCAATGGGGTATGCTGTCATCAGGAGTTTGATCCAAAAAGTTCCTTTTCTATTAATGTAGTTTTATCATTAGACTTCATACAGTCTAGTACTTGTACCGTTATACCTCTATCACATTTGTAGAAGTGATTATATAACGGTGTGTGTACTTTGTGTGAAAAATATTAGAAAGATGTTCTCCAATTCTTTCTTTTAATTTTCTTACTGTCATTCCAACATATTGTATCCCACAGCCATTGCATGTTAAACAGTAAACTACATTTTTAGCGTTACAATCTGCATCTGCTTCTTCTATATGTGTTAATGTATAGATTTGTAACGTTTGATACAATGTAATTATCTGTATTAGTTATATCACATGTTCTGCACTTTCTTTTACATTTGCAACCCTTGTTATCGTTACCAAAGTCGTTGAGTTTGGAGTGATTGGCCCCACCCCTTACCTTGTGGAACCGGGTGGTGGAGTAATAATTTGTAGCGCTGATTTTCGCATTTTTTGACCTAAGATCTAAGCGCATGAGCGGTCAAACCCATACGCAGAGAGGAGTCTTCCCGAAGGTTCGGCAGG